GGCAAGAAGGAGACCCAGGCAGGTTGGGAAAGGAAGTGACTTCTTAAAGGTGGGGTTTCAAGGTCGAGGGGGAGGAGAGGGCTGGAAGACCAGCCCTGGAGGTTGAGCAGTGGGGCCTGGACTCCAAGATGTTGAGGGAGAAAGGGGTGGGGCGGAAACTCCGGACTCTGAAGAAGGGGGCGGGGTTAGAACTCCAGTACTTGAGGGAGGAAGGGAAGGGGTGGGCCCGTCTGGGTCTCAGCGTGGAGGACGGCGGTGGCTCCAGCCTCCCCAGGGCCACACCTCTGAAGTTCCAAGTTACTGTCCAGTTCATCCCCGATGCGCTTCAGACATTCGCTTAGCTTCTTGGTGGATGGGTCCTGGGGTACCCGCTCCAGGGCCAACTCGGGCGCCTCCCCCCCAATCCGCTTGGCTCGGTCCTGGATGAAACTAGAGTGGGAATGGAGTGCGGGGGGTGCAGAATCAGAAGGGGGTGTCATGCCTCCAATCCGCTCACAATAATCAGACCTCAAACTCACCCCTGAAGCAAAAGGGCCCCTGTCTTCATGATCTGTTCAGAGCTGGTGGGCCCTAGAGGAGAAAGGAGGGAAGAGGTGCCTGGACTCTGGGGTTCAGGGGATCAGAGGCCTGGCGAGGCTCACGGTCCTTGAAGGACCGCAGGGCTCGGGCCATGGACTCCTGGGGCCCTGGTAGGTATAGACTGGGGCAAGAAGGCTGAGTCCTTGCTGGAGGAAGAGGCCGGGAGCCTGGGCCTGAAGCCTGTGTATTTCCGGGAAAGGAGGCTGAGGGGAACCTTCAAAGCATCCAGACCCCCTGGCCTGAAGGGGCAGGGGCGGGACGCGCCCCTCCCACCAGGGGCAGAGGCAGGAAGTGATGCCGGCGACAAGCCCAGGCCTGCCCGGGGGCTTGAGTTCTAAGGTCTCCAGGTTCTCGGGGGTCGGAGGGCGCCGGGCAGCAAGGGATCGGGGCGCGGAGGCCGGGGGGGGGGGCGTTGCTGAGGACCCAGACAAGACGGCGCTGGAGGCTGGCAGCGCCCGATCGGGGACTTTCTGCCCCGCGGTGCTTGGAGATCGCACGGACCCGGGCCGGCAGGAGGGATCCTGGGGCCGGCCGGCGAGCGGAGGGCTCGCTCTCCACCCGCCCGTCTGCCTCCCGCCTCACCCCCGCCTCTGGACTGCTCCCCGGACCCGTCCATCACCGCCGCTCCCGCCGCCGCAGCCTCTAAGCCGGGTCCGCTCAGGCGGCCGCCGCGCGCGCCCGGTCACGTGACCGCCCCCCGCGAACGTGCGTCCATCACGTGGCTGCCCCGCAAAATGGCCGCCGCTGGCCGCTGCACCGCAACAAACACCCCCCTCCGGATCACGTGGCTGCTCTTTCCCCGCCCCTGGACGGCTTAACCCCTACCAGGTGATGGTGCCCGCAGGGCCCCCTTTGTGAAATGATTCCTTCAGTATTTTCCGAGGATTCTGATGTGGCTTGAGACCACCCACGGAAGAGACAACAGCAATTGTAGGGGCTCGGGTCATCAATCGCGTGTATTCAGGCAGGGCATTTTAGATGACAAAAGCTCGTGTTTATTTATGTGTATGTGCATGTGTCTAAGCATGTGAGAAAATAAAGGGAATTAAAAATTCCAAAAGTGTTCAAACTAGTCTATAGTGAAAGGTTGGCAGAGTTTAGACGACGGGGGGAGGAACAGAGGCTCCCACAATGCACCCTAGCTTGCTCTGAGTAGTGGGTAAACGGGTTTGTTCTTGGCACTGACTCAGCCCTCGCTCATGACAACCGCATGCGCAAAGAAACAAAACACTGTCTGGTGCTGCGCCAGGATTGGACACTCCAATAATCCATATGGTTTTCATTGGCTGATTTGCAGAAGGAGATCACCAATCACCAGGCTTTTTATTTTCCTAGCCCATCTTAGTCTGGAAGCTCTGCTGAAACCTGACAGTATCCTAGGGTCTCGCAAGCCTCTGTCTACAGACGGGTGGTGGCTGGGGCTAAGGTGCGCTGGTGGGGGATGGAACCGGAGTATCCTGAACAGAACGTAAGAATTCTCCCACCCAGCCACCTCCGCTCCTTCTTACTTTCGGTCCACCTGCAGACTCCTAAACAGTAAAGCCATGGGGTGGGGGCAATTTTTAGCAAAATCTAAGTCAAAACCATTTACAATAATAAATATGCTGTATGTAGACCACGATGTCCATCTCCAAGTTGACTCCCACTGAGTCTCCCCTCTAGGGGTTCGTGTCCTTGGCCGCATTGTAGGGCTGACCAGTATGACCAACAGGACGTGATGGCAGTGATGGAGTGTGACTTCGGAAGTTAGGGCATAACCTTCAAACCTTGAACCAACAGTGACCCTGAGGCTACTTGGTAGCTAAATGACAAACTGGCTCCAAAAAAAAAGAAAAATCATTATTCTC